GCGCCAAATTCAACATCTCCCGCTTCAGTCACAAACCCCCAAAATCAGTCGCCAGCGAAAGGGTTACAGATCTCTACAAAAAAAAAAAAAAGTGACACGGAAGAAAGTGGCAAACTAGAAAGAGAGAGTGCAAGAGCCACGACTCCACGGACATTCTCGCGTGGCATTGTTCCGAGAGTGAGGCGGCTCGCGTGCGATTCCGGAGGCGGATGTGAGCGAGCCGGCGCGTCTACGGGGCCGGGGAAAAATCCAACCGGACTGGTTTCCGACCTTACGCGAGCCTCGTCCACTGGTGCAAGGCTGAACGTGACTGCTGGCAATCAGGTCTCTCCCCGTCGTCGGTGCAGAAAAACCAACTCGAACGATCCGCGGCGCCGATTCCTGTCCGCGAGAACGCCGTGATTAAATTATCCAACAGGGCGTGTACCTCGACGAGGCAACTTTTCCTTAAGCCTGTATTGACGTCAAACAACCATTCGAGCCCCCTTAACGCGTTTTACGTCAAAATCGTGGACACACCGGCGAGAGTTGTAACGATAGATCGTGTGACGTTCGAACTTTGGGGGAAACTCGCACGGTAAACTAGTCGAGAAAGTGAATATTGCGGTTTGGACAGTGAACTTTCCGTTTCTTCTTTTCTTCCTTTTTCTCTTCTGTAAAACTAGTTCGATTAGTATTACGTGTTTATGGTGTGAGCTAGGTGAACCGTGCCTCGATATTCTAGTATTAAATTAGAGAGAGTAGGTGATTAGTTAAGTTCGATAGAGATGTTATAACCGTTTCGACGATCGAAGTAGAAAAATTGTAAGCTTCGAGAGGTTTCACCTTCGACACTCGGTGTATTTTATGGCTACATAAGCCAGCAATTTAAAGCAATGCTGAGACTTGTTAATAAACGAAGATACTAATATTAAAGTACCGGATAAAAAGAGTAATAAACATTTATTAGAAATAAGGTCACGGTCCGTTTAAATCACAACTTTTCACAGTGTGTCTCTCCCTAAAATTGCCGCCGAGTGTTGAAAGCTAACCGATCGGTAACGTAGAGAGATTCTAGGTTAGATCATTTCTAAAGAGAGAAACTTGGAAAAAGACACCAAAGAGACTTAGCTTTAACTATGTGCTCAATGATCGCGATCCAAGAGATTGCACTTAATAAACATGAATGCTGGAAAAAAACGTTTACGCGCTGATATCACCGATAATAATAAATCCATTACGAATTTGTGTCATACGAGTAAATCGCTCGATGACGCGCAGAGGAGGGACATAAAGAAACAGATAAGTCGTAATTAGGATAGCCGTTAGATAATCTAATCGTGTTTATGCCAGCCAGCAGGTCTCTTCACCCGTCGAAGATCTGTTTCTTGTAAACGATGAGAATTCTTCTTCGATCGACGATAAATTCGTAATCACGTTCTCGGCCGCGCGCGATTTGTATACAAATTTTCGGTTTCCCAGAATTTTTCTTCTTTTTTGTTTTGTTTTTTTCGTTACCATCGCGCTGCGCGTTTCGAGATATACAACGAACGAACGAATCGAACTGTCCGGTTTTTATCGTTATTTAAAAATAGGACATCTGTGCACTCTGCCGCCTCGACCACTTTATCGCGTCGCGTGCACTATGCTGCATCCTTTTGTGGAGCAACGGTATCGACGGATTACATAAACTGGCAATATTCGAGCACCGTGGTCCGAATGTTTCCATTGTTTCACTACGCCAGAGAAATATCTGGCCATCCTGACATACTCTGCAACTCGCGAGAAATTTTCAATCGAACATTCGTACGGTATACATGTATATCGTAGAAAATATACGATACGAATGGAAATTTCAGAGAAGTTCATTTGTTAGATGAAAACATTCCGAGAAGCTTGAACATCCACGACATCGGGCTTCCGATAAATCTTCAACGACCGAAATTAGATTTTCCCTATTCCAAGGGTGGAATACTGAATTAGAAGCTGTCCCAAAAATTCGATAGAATTTCCCAAAAATAATTCCTCACGTCCGGAATTTCGGTACACACATATATCGTGGAAAATATACAATACAAACGGAAATTTCGGAGTTGATTTATCAGACGAAAAACATTCCGCGAAGCTTCAACATTCGCGTCATCAGACTTCCGATAAATCTTCACCCATCGAAATTAAATTTCGCTTATCCCAAGGGTAGAATACCAAATTAGAAGCTGTCCCAAAAATTCGACAGAATTTCCCAAAAATAATTCCTCGCATCCAGAATTTCGGTACATACGTGTATCCTAGAAAATATACAATACAAATGGAAATTTCGGAGTTGATTCGTCAGATGAAAAACATTCCGCGAAGCTTCAACGTCCACGTTATCGGACTTCCGATAAATCCTCTCCCATGGAAATTACATTTCCCTTATTCCAAGGCTGGAATACTAAATTAGAAGCTGTCCCAAAAATCCGACAAAATTTCCCAAAACTAAAATCCGAAGAAACAATTCCCCGTGTATTCCGGAATTTCCCCCGCGAAAACGAACTGCGAATGTTCCAAGAAGAGGCTGTGTAACAGCTCCCGAAGAAAAATGCAAGATCGACGGAATTTCGACACGCGTACGTACATGTACGCGTTCGAGTTTATAAACATTTCTACGAACAACTACGCAGTCGAATCGAACTGGTCGGTATGACCCCGCGGAGGAAATGTTATCAGGGTAGATGTCATGTTGCGCGCACCGAAAATAAGAAACCAGTTGTTCATCCGTGCTCGTGCGTTCAACATGCTGAGACCGTACATCGTATGTTTGTTGCTCTCTGTGCTACTGGTGGACGACACCGTAGCGATCGAGGGTGTGAAAGGCGGCCATCGTTCGCATCGACCGAATCCTAACTCAGCGGTGAACAGCACTATACAAGCTGGACTTTGTTACAAGAGGATACCGTGAGTACAGAACGCTAGTGAAATTCCGAAAAATAACGCGGCGATGCAAAAGTTGCACTTTGACCCCGCGACGACCGCGCTTCTTATCTTTGCAACACTCCACCGATTCACCGTGCATCTTCTTCTTGCTGTTTCTTAGGTACGCGGACGCGCTAGAGTTGAACTCTACCGGCCAATTCCCGCACAACACTCTTCCGACAACTCCCGAAGACGCTGCGGTTAGTATACATAGTCGAAGATAGAAGTAGAAAGAAAATTCTAAGAGGATACTGTGCGCGGTGGAAAACTGTAGTTTGTATCTGAATGTCGTGGAAGGTTGTAAACGATGACTATAGGGAGGTGGTACAGCCTGTGAGTATCTTTCACGAGAGATAAGGAGCACTCTCTCAAGGCTGTTCCATCGTGATTTCTGATCCTAAGCGACCTTGCGCGTGATAAGTCGTTGAACTCGTTCGTGAAATTAGGTCGATATACGGAGAACGAAGTAGAGAGACCTGTGATAGATCTGAATATGCAGTAATATCTTCGGAAAACGACAATCTAGAGGAAAGTTGTGCACGTTTAAAACGCACAGTTCGAATTTTCTTCCAAGTAACTTTTTCCACGGTTCGAGGAAAATTGTAAAATTTTCTGGCGACATTTGCGCGGGACACCCGGTATATTCGAAGTAGCGATAATTATTCCCCGGTTAAAGATTGCGTTCAAACGGACGTTCGTTCCCTCAGAAAGGCGGATGGATCACAATATTGGACTGCTGCGACGGCTACGAGCGCAATGTCACTTCCGGCGGCTGCGAGCCTCGCTGCATACAGGGTTGCCTGGGCGGGAGGTGCACAGCGCCTAATCAGTGCACCTGCTCGCCAGGCTGGTTGCCTCAGGAAGGGGTCTGCATGCCGTACTGCGAGAAACCCTGCCAGAAAGACGCCTACTGCTTCTCGGCGAACGTGTGCGCTTGCAAATTGGGCTACGACGAGGTGAACGGCGAGTGCAAGCCGATTTGTCCCGGTGGTTGCAAGAACGGCGAGTGCGTGGCGCCTCATTTGTGCAGATGCAGGCAAGGATACGTGATCAGACCGTCGCCCGAAAGCTCCGTTGGAATCGAGGCGAAAGAGTGCATGCCTGTTTGTGAAAATGGCTGTCGAAATGGAGAGTGCATTGCTCCTGGTGTATGCAATTGCCAGGAAGGGTGAGTTTATTTTCGTTTCTCGTCATTCTGTCTTATCGACTTCAAAAGTCTTATACGTGTTAATTGTTATTCCTTTCCTCCAGATACGTCAATCCTCCGGGAGACACGGAATCCTGTGCTCCCAGTTGTCCTCAAGGATGCACGAACGGCGAATGCGTTTCTCCGGGTGTTTGCAAATGCAAACCGGGCTACACGATGGACCCAACGAACAAATGCGTCCCGGAATGTCGTCAGGGCTGCACGAACGGCGAGTGCGTCGCTCCAGATGTTTGCAGGTGCAAGATAGGCTTCACTCTCGATCCTACCAACAAATGCGTCCCCGAGTGTCCTCAAGGATGCACCGACGGCGAGTGTGTCGCTCCGACTGTCTGCAGGTGCAGACTGGGCTTCGCCCTGGATCCCACGAACAAATGCGTGGCGGAGTGTCCTCAAGGTTGCCCCAATGGGAAATGCACATCTCCGGGAATGTGCACCTGCAATCCAGGCTACACTCTCGACTACAACGACAAGTGTGTCCCGGATTGTCCGCAGGGTTGCAACAACGGCGAGTGTGTCTCTCCGGGTGTCTGCAACTGCAACGTTGGCTTCTCTCGCGACTCGAACGGCAGATGTACACCTATTCCATCCGAATCCAGCACCGCGCAGTGTCAATTCGACTGTGGACCGAACGCTAGATGCGTCGGACCGAACAGGTGCGCCTGCAACGTAGGCTTCCGCGTGGATCCGGACACGAACAAATGCGTACCGTTCTCGAACTCGTTCGAGTGTAGGAACGGTTGCGGTTCGAACGGCGTCTGCGTTGGGCCAGATATGTGTTTATGTAACTACGGAATGAGCGTGGATCCAGTGACTGGAAGATGTCCAGACACAACACCGCATCCTGCGCAATGTAGATACGGTTGCGGGCCAAACGGAATGTGCGTAGGTCCTAATCAGTGTCTGTGTGCTCCAGGATTTGTCGTAGATCCGGACACAAATAGATGCGTTCCGCAGAGACCTTCGCAGAACACCGTACCGCCGGGTCCAAATATGACCGGCGAAGCGATATGCGAGCAACCATGCTTGAACGGAGAATGTACCGGATTGAATCGTTGTACATGCAAACGAGGCTACACTATGGATCGAAATGACATGTCGATGACAAGATGCGTGCCTCTATGCATAGGTGGTTGCATAAACGGTGTGTGCACAGCGCCTAATCTGTGTCTATGCAACTTAGGCTACAGAAAAGAGACCGGTGTAAAGGGTAGACAGAGATGCGTGCCGATTTAAAGAATCTTTGTTCGAGCGTGTTACATCGTATCGGATGATTGACACCATTGAACAGAATGTAGTACGTAGAGAGTGAATTGTATCGTTGTGGTATGAGGTTTGTGTATGCGTGTGTTGTATTTCGAATGTTTCTTTTTTTTCTTCTTCTTCTCTTGCGGAAGATTCACGTACACTGTCAGCCTTGCTTTTTTTTTTATGCTCTTCGTCTCTTCGATGTTTTTGTACAATTTATTCGAAAATAAACATTAAACGAAGGAGAGGAGGAGAATTCGTAATTAATCGAGGAAACGATATCTCGTCGACATCCTGTCATGTCTTTATGTCACAGGATACGATACGTAGGAGAGGTATAGGGAGGGGGGTGGAATAACTAAGCGCCGAGAAGAGACAACGATGCACGTCGAAACCATTCAGTCATATCTCACAGCTCGTAACCATAACCGGGAATACGTGTCTTTAAAAATGAGATTTCACTACGGTCTCTCGTTCCTCGTACTTTTCGTCGTGTTAGTCGACGAAGGAATTACGCAGAGCCTCAAAGGTTATTGTCCAAAATTAGTCGAGTAAGTATGGTACCGTTTTCTCGCGGTTCGTTACGAAAGAATCTCGCGAAATTTCACGAAATTCTTCTCAGATATACAGATTCAAGGATGGTACCGTACACAGAGGCATACCAGGTCAAAAAATGGGTTATCTTTCACGAAACGAGGTATCGGACAAATTACAGAAAACAGGTAAACCTCGCGTTTCTCGTTAAAATCACGTAACACAACCGCCGATAAGTATATTCGCCCATCTTCTTCATTCGCGATGTTCCTTCTTTCGACAAGCAACTTCGTTTTACCTCATTTTAAACAACGATTCACCTTGTTTCGTTAACTCCTCTATAAAAAGATCCAAATTCTATCGAAAAATCTACCGCATCTTTGAATAAAGAAACGAAAAGAAAAAAAAAAGCGAACGATATAAATGGATGAAAAATACTTATGAGCGATAGTGCACACCTCGATAGTTGAAACAACGAGCGTATGTTGCGACAACTACAAGATGTCGCCAGCAGGCTACTGCGAGCCCATCTGCAAAAAGGGCTGCGTGAACAGTAAATGTACAGCGCCTGATGTATGCCAGTGCCACGATGGCTACCAGAAATTTGACTACAGAGATAACCACTGCGAACCCAGGTGTTCCTGGGACTACTGCGAAAAGCACCACGCGAACTGTACCGATCCAGAAGTGTGCACCTGCCACAATGGTTACAGGATCGTGGACGTATTGAAAAATAAACAGGTAGTGTATTATAGGAATGTTATATTACAGACAGGTATACTCCCCGAAATTGAAAATAAAAAAACAAAAGAAAACAACAAGAATAGGACTAGAACGACTCTGTACTAAAATACTCTATCCTCTCGCTGCGAATTCTAACTCGTTAGGTGATACCGTAAGTTCGTGTCGAATTTTATAATTTAAACGTTTAGATTGAAGTATTTCTCGCTTGGCGGCAACGACATATGGGATTCGCCTAATACAACTGACATACGCGCCGACTCTATTCGCAATTTTTATTTCTCCTTTCCACTCTATACAGACATACCTTAGGAGATATTCAGTCATGTCCACCGAAATCCTGATAATTTCAATCACACCGTCCCAAGTATCCTTCTTTCGCACCTCTGTCACACCAGCTGGAACACCTTTCGTTCACGAACCTGTCGCACCTAGACTAAACACTCGCAGAAAAACCCCTATCGCTCCTACAGTATGATAAACGGTGAGAAAATCGAATCTAGACAAAATTGATCAGAGCGTCCGTAAGTGTCCCAACGACACACGTTCACGCTGTGTTTATTTGCCGAGAAGCAAAGCTGAAGGGACGTTGAGATAGTCGATATCTGAAACGCGTTAACACATTTTGCTCGTTATTTTGAATGAAAAAAGTCTAGTTAGCTACGACGTTCGAAATTTTTAGTCGACGATATTCATCTTTGTTTGAATTACTTTGTTTGTTGTCACAGATGACCAACGAGACATTCGATCTGGTAGACATGCACGTCAGAAAAGAATTATACAACTGCGTACCATACTGCCACAAGGATTGCATAAACGGTAAATGCACCGAGCCGGACAAGTGCACCTGTAATCCAGGCTACGTTAAAGTTAAGGGGGAACGCTGCGAGCCTGTATGCAGCCGAAAGTGCGTGCGAGGCACCTGTATAGCCCCTGAGATATGCAGATGCGACGAGGGTTTCGGGCTAACGGGTAGGTCTCCGTACATCTGCGAGCCTGTGTGCGAGAAAACTTGTGTAAACGGGGTGTGCCTACAGCCAGGGGTTTGCACGTGCCATCCTGGCTACAAGTTAAGCGGCGACGAGACTATGCAACACGTATGCGAACCGTACTGCGAGGAGCCATGTGAACCGTACGGAAAGTGCACTGATCCTAACACCTGCACTTGTCTCGAAGGCTACAAAGTAGTTGTTAAGAAGGAGAGACCGGTAACGTAGGAAAACTACGTGGCAATTTTATGTAGACTTAAGGGGGTCTTCTAGTGTGACGGCCGTTTTTTTAGGCCTTCTTTGCTAATTTATTACAGAAGTACGGTAACAGTTATTAACATGAGCTTTATTCCTATGTATTTACTTGTCCTTGAAGAATCATTAGAAATTTTTATTGTTGAAAAATAATTAAATATGGCTGCTGTGGAACACGTCGAACAGGAGCATGAAAAAAAAAGTAGGTCCATGGTTGCCATGATTTGAGCTGTTTTGCTTATCAGAAATAAAAAAATTCAATTGATTCTTATTTAGTATGCACGTCGCTATGGTCGCTAGTAGAATAAAGGAAAAATATTGAAAATTTAAAAAATGGCGGCACTTTGAATACGAAGTATCGATTTTTTCGACTTTTTTTTCGTCTTTCAGAGGCTCTAAAAATCAGAAAAATATATATTTTGGCATAATTCTACTACCGACCATAACCACACATGTTCTGAAAACATGTGCAAAATTTGAGTTCGATTGGTTCAGTAGTTTTTGCCAGATCGTGGCAACCATTTCAGCAAACATGGTTCCGAGAAAAACGCGTTTAAAGTTTTCAGTGCAATTTAGATTCTCCCTTGATGTGTCACACTAAACGAGCTATAACTTCGTTATTTTATTGAATACAACTATAAAACTTCAGGAGTACATTCTTAAAGAGTTGTACTTTCGACATATGCAAAAAAATAAAAATCGATTTTCTGACACCGTCACACTAGAAGACCCCCTTAAGGGATCCTCCTATTGTGCACGGCTAGATAACTGAATTTTCTCGGAAATTTCAAACGAACCAAGTGCTACACGTATCCTCTTGCAAACTTGTATTGTATATTCTGTCATCTTTCGAGAATAGAGAAATATCTTTTATAAGTGAAAAGATCCATTTGTTGTAGAATAGAACCACCGTGAAGGGAGCGCCTTGAAAACTATCTGGCTGACATGTTTTAACTACAGTTTTAGACTACATAAGACCACTTCCTTTCGAAGGCATACGCATCTGCCAATTTTCAGAACGAAGCTTTAAAAATCTTCGTGGACATACTTTCGAGATGTTAAATTATTGGAATATGCAAAAGAAAAAATAATTAATTAATTTGTTCAACCCGCCACAATAGGAAGACCACTTAATTCCTTTCTAAATTTCAATTTTCATTTTCTCCCTCGCAGAAATTGTTATACTTCAAGAACGATACACCCTGTCAGCCTATCTGCAAGCAGACGTGCGTGCAGGGATATTGCAGTGCGCCAGGGGAGTGCACCTGCAACCCGGGCTACACTAAGTCTAAAGGAACTAACAACATCTGCGAGCCTATCTGCAAGGGGAAGTGCGTGAACGGTTATTGCAGTAGTCCTAACACGTGCGCCTGTAACCCTGGCTATCAGGCTGTGGTTAACAATACCAGTACATGCATACCAACCTGCGAGCAAGCCTGCATCTACGGAGACTGCGTTGCACCGAACACTTGTAAATGCAAGAATGGCTATCGTCTGTCCAAAGGTTCTGCAAACGTTTGCGAGCCTGTATGCGAGAAAGGCTGCATCTATGGAGACTGCATTGCACCGAACACTTGCAATTGCAAAGAAGGCTATCGTCTATCCAAAGGTTCTACGAATGTTTGCGAGCCGATCTGCGAGAAAGCCTGCATCTACGGAGACTGCGTTGCACCAAACACTTGCAATTGCAAAGAAGGCTATCGTCTATTCAAAGGTTCTACGAACATTTGCGAGCCGATCTGCGAGAAAGCCTGCATCTACGGAGACTGCGTTGCACCGAACACTTGCAATTGCAAAGAAGGCTATCGTCTATCCAAAGGTTCCACCAACGTTTGCGAGCCGATCTGCGAGCAAGTCTGCATCTACGGAGAGTGCGTTGCACCGAACACTTGCAAGTGCAACGAAGGCTATCGTCTATCCAACGGTTCCACCAACGTTTGCGAGCCGATCTGCGAGCAAGTCTGCATCTACGGAGACTGCGTTGCACCGAACACTTGCAATTGCAAAGAAGGCTATCGTCTATCCAAAGGTTCCACCAACGTTTGCGAGCCGATCTGCGAGCAAGTCTGCATCTACGGAGACTGCGTTGCACCAAACACTTGCAATTGCAAAGAAGGCTATCGTCTATCCAAAGGTTCCACCAACGTTTGCGAGCCGATCTGCGAGCAAGTCTGCATCTACGGAGACTGCGTTGCACCGAACACTTGTAAATGCAAGAATGGCTATCGTCTGTCCAAAGGTTCTGCGAACGTTTGCGAACCAGTCTGCGAGCAAATCTGCATCTACGGAGACTGCGTTGCACCGAACACTTGTAAATGCAAGAATGGCTATCGTCTGTCCAAAGGTTCTGCAAACGTTTGCGAGCCTGTATGCGAGAAAGGCTGCATCTATGGAGACTGCATTGCACCGAACACTTGCAAGTGCAACGAAGGCTATCGTCTGTCCAAAGGTTCTGCGAACGTTTGCGAACCAGTCTGCGAGCAAATCTGCATCTACGGAGACTGCGTTGCACCGAACACTTGTAAATGCAAGAATGGCTATCGTCTATCCAAAGGTTCTACGAACGTTTGCGAGCCTGTATGCGAAAAATCGTGCGGGAACAATGGATTTTGCGTCACACCAAACACTTGCAAGTGCGACAAAGGCTATCGTCTAACTAAAGATTCTGAGAACGTATGCGAGCCGATTTGCGAGCAAGTCTGCATCTACGGAGACTGCGTTGCACCGAACACTTGCAATTGCAAAGAAGGCTATCGTCTATCCAACGGTTCCACCAACGTTTGCGAGCCAATCTGCGAGGAATCGTGCGGTGACAGTGGGATTTGCGTCGCACCAAACACTTGCAAATGCGAAGAAGGCTATCGGTCCATGGACAATCAAACGAAATTCACCTGTGAGCCTGTATGCGATGTTAATTGTGGTAACGGCACCTGCACGTCTCCTAACGTCTGCACCTGCCACCCAGGCCACCAGGAAGACACGCAAGGAAGCTGCCAACCCTTCTGCACGTCCTGCGATCACGGTACCTGCGTTAAACCCGAATTATGCGAATGCGACGAGGGTTACATCTCGATTAACCATGAGAACGTAAGCGTCTGCGAGCCTTATTGCGGGAATTGCACGAACGGAAGGTGTGTGGCGCCTGATAATTGCGTGTGCAACGCAGGCTTCGCGATGGAGATCAACGATACGTTTAGCAATCATAGTTACTGCGTGAACGTGTGCGAAGATAATTGCAACGACCACGGATCCTGCAACGTCGAGAACAAGACCTGCGATTGTTACTACGGATGGAACGGTGTACACTGCCAGGAAGCACAGTTTTGCATCGTGGTGATCGATCGAGATACCGTACAGCTCAACGAGTAACTATTCCAGAATATTTATCGGACGATGTTGTTCACAGATACTTGAAACTTTTCTCTTACAGAACGAATATCGAGCAAAATGTGAACGAGACGATCGGCTACCTGTTCTCGAGCATTCCATCGTGTTTCTACAATTGCACCGACGAAATTACCAACGAGACTACGTGTTACGGGAAATACAGAAGGGACGAATTGGAAAATGACACGATTGCCTGTTTAATTAGCACACGTACGAAGAAGCAATTTTTCCTCTTTTTACACATATTCGTCGTTTAAATATTCGTTCTTTCGCAGAGTCCAATTGCCACAGGATGTACGCAGAGCAGACGAAAAATTTCAATTATATCCCGATAGCAGGAACAGCTGGCCTTGGGACGATGTCAATGTGCAGCGCGGCTGCGGTCTTCTTACTGATACGAAAGTACCAAAGAAGAAAATATTCTATCGGTAATTAACGTCGTTTTAACAACATCGTTTCACAGAAACTTCATTTCGTAACATTTACAAACGCACAGGTGAAGCAGAAAACACGTCGATGCTGAGCGAACCCAATCAGCAGGTGGAAAACAACCGTCTTTAACGATAAGATAATCTTTAATTTTGTTACACTGTACTAGTTCTGATTGTCAATAAAAATCATATTTAATCGGTTTACATGAGCTGAGAAACGGTTCTGTCACCTCCTCAAGGTATATCGAGCATCCCGTCCCGTCCGAATAACGCGAGACAAATAAACGGAAGCTTCGAGCGGAAGTTTTTGTAAATTCGAAAAAGCCAGGTTCAAAATTATTTGCACCGATAACGAAGCTACGGTTCATCGTTAAAACCAACTAACATACGCAGAAGTTTCTTTTCGTCCCTTTAAAAAACGAAACAGCGAAAATTCTACTTCTCTGAAGGAAAAAGAGCGCCGAAAGAGTGCCGTTAAAACTAGAAAAACTCTCGAAAAGACTCCGGTAAAAACACTCGACAGAAAGAAGAAAAAAGAAAAAGCGAAAAAACCTCGTACACTCTATCTATCGACTCTCCACAATCCTACAAACGACGTCGAACGAAGCCAAATGACTTCTCCCAAATGCGATTCACAAACCTCCATTACCCCTTCTCCACGGCGAACCAGAAGTAGAGGTGCAAGCAGCATCGATATGAAAACGGTGATAGTAGAACCTGAAGCAGCAGCAGCAGCAGCAGCTTGTATCCATCAGTCACACACGGTGATCCATTCGAAACTCAGATCTACGCACTGTTCGACAACCACGATACCCAGAGATGAAGAAACCATCGGACTAAAAAACAAAAAACCAAGAATCCGATCGACTCTCGCACAGAGAGTGTAACCTACGACGATATTCGAATCACGGTACAGTTCAAGGTGGCCGGTTGGAAAGGTAACAAACCAATAATCCTCCTTTCGCCCCACCTCCGCATCCCCTTCTGCATGGAGGTTGTTCGTCGTGAGAGAGGACGACGGAGGCAGCCCTGATCTCGATCGACGCGGCGGCACCGAATGGAGGAAGGAAGGGGTCAACGGGTGGCATCGCGCAGCTGCAGTCCGCGGTGGTCGACCGGCTAACGGAAGGAAGGCGTCAGTGAACGGGTAGCACGGGCCAGAGAAACGCGGGCGGCCTGATTTTTCCGAATTGTGTCGAGCTAGAGGAGAGAAGACGGACAGACAGACAGGGGTAGAGACACCGCTGTATAAAATAAGTTAGTCGATCCGTCGGTTCGCGTGCCCGTGCTTGGCTCATTCGTAAAAAGAAAGAACGTCGTCGTCAACCCATATTCTCTAAAAGCGAAAAAAAAAAAGACACGCGTACCTGCGTGCGTGCGTGAGTGTGTGTGCGTGCTATGTGTGCATGGTGACACAGCGAAGCGGATTGAGGAAGACGGGAAGAAAAACCGGAAGAGAGAGAGAGAGAGAGAGGGAGGGAGAGATAGGGAGAGAAAGGGAGAGACGTATGTTAATTTTCAG